TACTTACATGAAACAATCAACTATCACAACAGTGTTGTCAAGTAATCATTCCACGAGAATAATGTTTGTAATTATACTTTTGACATGCGTTTTACATTCAAATAAAATAACGCTTATATAGAATATTTAATTATTTTTCAAAGAATATTTTTCACACATTTTCGTCGTACGATATTGCGATTTCATCTTGGCAGCATAACCTACTATGCCGAAAGGAATTTGCACTGTCGGACGATGATCCGGTTCGCAAGTTACATTTGCGTTACGGTCGGATAATTAATTATCCGTAATTGCATTTCTTACCTATGGTAGAAATGAACGTTGTGGAGAAGGCATCGTCCGAAAATCTAAACAATATACAAGTTTTGCCGACTCCGGAATCACCGATGAGCAGTAATTTGAACAACAGATCGTACGTCTTTTTCGCCATTTCACTGTTGCTCCGCGTTAACGAGGCGCTCAAGAAAACAAAACAAGTCGAACCTGTGGAGCACGATTTACGGTTTTTCCAGACGATGTTTCGAACATCGAATGCTCTGAACGATTATAGGTTTCAAGGTCGGACGAGGGCGCGTCTCGGTGTACAACGGAGCCTCTTTAACGACGGAAAAACCGGTCACAGGGGCTGACTATTAAAAGACAATACGACGTCACACAACAGAGCAGCACGCAGAAGCATCGGGGTAACTTTGCACTTTGCGTTCTGACGAGTCTGAACGAGTCACAAATGTACATCGGCTAACCAATGATTTCCTGGTACGACTGTTTCATCGTTGTTACAATCACGAAACTACGCCGGGTTCAACTGCAAATATTCCATCTACCACTGGAGGTCACCACCACTGCAAGAACGATTTTAAATTACCCGGATGTTAGATAGAATGTATACATAAATCAGCACCAAGTTATTGCTTATTTTATCGATTTCACGCTGTTCATTTCTACTTGCACGTAACTGTACTTTGTTTGCTCTGTATCGATGCGTGTCGAAATGGAAACGTCGACGTTCCGCGACGCTGTACGTTTGAAATTTTGCGCTCGAGATAATTATCAGGTAAATAATAACTTCAATTATGTAATGAGAAAATGAAGTTTTTTCACTGATACCGTCAACAGCTCCTCGTTTGATGAATGTACGAACAGCGACGTCAATGATTAAGAGTATATTTAATGTTTACCACATTTAGATACGGGGCGATGATGCACAGCGGATATTACACATATGGTCGTTGTTGTGTGCAGGCATTTCTGATGTATTTAGTAACGAGTAAATGAGTTTAAGAAGCCACGAATCATATATAGGGTGTCTCATTCAAAATGTTATAAATTTTCATAATCTGTAAGAATAAATGTTCTATGAACATATAGTAGATGATGCATTTATTTTATAATGGAAGCAAGTAAGAATATTTACTACTTTCTATTATAAAAGAAATTTGTTAAACTAAAGATTTCCTTCTATTAAGATAAATAATATAAAATAATATTTTATATGAGATAAGCCAATATCTTTTTAAAGTGATTAGTTACATATGAGAAAACGTATACCTTTTACTTTTAATAAATGCGTTGAAAATATGAATATTTCTGTATAATGATTTTAATTATCATTTAATAAGTTGTGTGTCAATCAGTAGATGTATATTAATAAGATATTTAATTAAATGGGGAAGTACGCGCGAAAAAGTGAATAGTATCGTCATCTATTGGTGAAACGAAAAAGTTCAACAATCATGACCACAAATTTATCTTAACTCTGTGCGTCGATTCGAACATAATTCTTACACTCGCCACCGTAAATCGTAGAGGGCATATCAAAACGTCTGCTTTTTTTTTACACGATCGGTATTTCAAACTTTTGGACACGAAGTTCCATGAAATGTCCAGTCTGCTTATATCTCGTCGGTGGTTTAATGTAAAGAGCGACAGGTGTATCAATAATTGGTTCAAAATGTACACAATAGATGGCAATGCAGTCTTGTTATAGCACGTTGTCGTCACTTGTCTTTGCAGTTTGCAGTTTCCGCTAAGTTACTATCGGACGCACGAGGTGAACAGCTTGAATAAACAGTAGTACGAAGGAAAAGCTGTGCTCGCGTGGCTAGCGTCATAGTTTTCCGCACGTGACCAAGGAATATGGCAGCTAAAATGAATTATTTCGATCCACCGAGTTCGGCGAGTTCCGATAGGTGAGTAGAATTTGATTTGTTAGTTTGATTTTCGGAGACAAACTGTTGAATCTTTGTCATTTAGTGATGATGGAGAAGTTTGTTTGGGCGAGCGAGAGATCAGTCTCGCCGACGAGCTCTGCGAGGATGCTGAATATTATAGATGTTCTGACATCGGAACACCAACACCGCAGTCTCCCCGTCCACTTTCCACGGGTAAGACTATTATCACTTTATTTATCTCCTCACTTTTAGGAATTTAAACATATTATTGTAAACCTTATTCTTCATTTTATAAGTCTGGATATGTAACTGTCACACATGTTTGCACATAAATGGATGGTATACTAATTATTTACAGAGCTGCTTTGGAGCACTTGTGTTTGGCAGATAGGATGCACTTGGCTCAATGATGTAAAAACCTTGTACAATTTCAGAAAATCAGCAAAGACTCCCAAAAGTATTACCCCTTCTTACCTATATCCTTTCTTGCTACCCTCATTTTCCTATCACCTTTGTTTAGTTTTGATAATTAGTCAATATGAATTCTGAATGAATGGAATTTTTTAATATACCTTAACAATGAGACAATTTATTGATTTACAATTCTTAAGAATTACCTTAAATGGAATGCTATATTTCTTTAGTTTTTTCATTCTTTGACTGACTTTATCTGAATCTTCAACCTTTCAACTATCTGATTTTCTATTCATAGAAGTACAATTCAAGGTAAATTAAATTAATATGATAAACATTGTTCAATGATACATATCAATATTGCATAGTTTATATTAATATGCACACCTGAATGAAATACAAAAATTATTTGTTGAACAAATATGAAAATGAAGAGTTAATGAGAAGTGAAATTGAACTTGAATGACGAGTTAACTCGTCATCCTCATTGAAAAGGTTAATACAAACTTTGAAATATTTTATAGAAGGAAACCTTTAATTGCATAACAGGATCTCAAATTTCCCCAAGGACACGAAGGCAGCGAACTACCAGCTTATCCCAGTCTAATAAAAAAATATCTTCAGAATCCATACTTAGAAGTAAGACAAGAACCATATACACAGCTGGTAGACCTCCATGGTATAATTCAGCAGGACAACAAGTTGAACCTTTTGTAATTGGTTGGTAATATGTTTATACGAAATATGTATCTATAAAAGGATACTTGAAATTATAAGTAGTCTTGTGTTAGGAATTTGCGGAGGCAGTGCATCTGGTAAAACCACAGTAGCAACAAAAATTATAGAATCCTTAGATGTACCATGGGTAACATTACTCAGCATGGACTCATTTTACAAAGTATAAAAGACTGTCATTTCTTATTACTTAAGTTATATAAATTACTATTAACAGTAGACACTTTTTACTAAGGTCTTAAATGAAAAGCAGCATGAAATGGCTGCATGTAATGAATACAATTTTGATCATCCAGATGCTTTTGACTTTGAACTTCTTAGAACAACACTGCAACGCTTAAAGGAAGGTAGAATGGTGGAAGTTCCTATATATAATTTTGTAACTCATTCTAGGGAAAATAGAACTGTAAGTAGACATTGACAAATTGGTTCAATTTAGTACTAAATTTTTGTTGAATGTGTTAAATTTCTTCTTATGCCAAAGAAAACAATGTACGGTGCCAATGTCATTATATTTGAGGGAATATTTACATTCTACAATGTCGACGTTTTAAAGGTAAGCAGGATATCGGGATTTACAAACGCACTAGGGTACAAAAGCAGAAAGAATGTAAGTTACCATTTGTAATTACCACTGATCCGCTTTCTTCGATTGGTCAAGATGTGTGATCTGAAGATATTTGTTGATACCGATGCCGATGTAAGACTCGCCAGACGATTACGAAGAGATATAACAGATAGGGGAAGGGATCTAGTGGGTGTCTTAAAACAGTATACTACAATGGTGCAACCAGCTTTTTACTATTATATAGCACCATTAATGGTTCACGCGGACATTATTGTACCGCGTGGCGGAGAGAACGAGGTTGCAATAGAATTAATCGTGCAACATGTGCATACTCAATTGCAACTGGTAAGGCTAATCAGGTTTTTGAATTTATATTCTATTGATCGTATTTATTTAGCAATTATTTCATATTTTAGAGGGGCTTTAAACTCAGAGAAAAGTTAGCTCACTCATATATTGGTCAGCCATTGCCATCTTCTCTCTACATGCTTCCGGATACACCACAGATCAAAGGTCTACATACATTTATAAGGAACAAAGAAACGTACAGAGACGAATTTATATTTTATTCGAAACGTTTGATACGTTTGGTTATTGAGTACGCGTTATCACTTTTGCCTTTTGAGGTATGTATCATTGAAATATAATTATCGAATTGAATATATTTTATGTTGCACGCACGATTTATTGGTTGCTTAAAGGATGTAACAATAGAAACACCTCAAGGAGTCCTGTATAATGGAAAACGCGGTGCCACGGATAAAATATGTGGTGTTTCCATTTTGCGAGCCGGTGAAACCATGGAACAAGCTGTTAGGGACGTATGTAAAGATATTAGAATAGGGAAAATACTTATACAAACCAATCAACAAACTGGGGAACCAGAGGTAATTACCTCTTTATATTACTTTGTTTTGTTAGAAATTCTGTAACATATTACTGACATATGTTACAGCTTTACTACCTTCGATTACCAAAAGATATAAAAGATTATAAAGTGATATTAATGGATGCAACAGTAGCGACCGGTGCTGCTGCCATTATGGCCATTAGAGTTTTACTGGATCATGACGTTGCTGAAGAGAATGTTTTACTTGTGTCGTTACTCATGGCAGAATCTGGCGTACACTCTGTTGCCTACGCATTCCCACGTGTCAAAATTGTCACGTCCGCCTTGGATCCTGTGATAAATGAGAAGTTCTACGTGCTACCTGGTATCGGTAACTTTGGGGATCGATACTTCGGAACCGAGCCATCTGCGATTGAGAATTAAAATAGCTTAAGGCAATTTCAGTTCTATATTTATAGGTAATTACTTAATCTGTTGTTATAAAGCAAATACAGTTGTCTTATATATCTTTAATAAAATTTGTGTTACAATCGGGACTGTACGTGTCTACTGTCCAATAATTATATAACATTTGCGTTATTAAAGTGGCGTTGTGTCAATGTTAGAACCGACACCGCCATTTTCAGCAACGGCGCCAGTACTGCGTAATTGTCTGTAGCCGCGAGCGCTTGCTCGGCGGGAACGACGCCAAGAATCTAAGTTTCCCGCAGTGGTACCGTTCGGTTGATTCAAAAGATACGTGATCAGCCGATCTAGTGCAGCCAAATCTTCACTCGTGTTACCAGTATTTCCTAAAGTCTCAGGTGGCCGCAAATTGTCAGAGATGGTTTCCTCCGAGCGACCAATATTTGTAATATTATTCACATCGCTTGTTTGGAGACCCAACTTTGAAGTAAACTGTATCGAATAATTATATTCCTTTAGTTCCTTATATAATATATTTTAAATAAAAGAATAGCAAAATACCTGTTCAGGACCATGTTGGCCGTAACTCAATCTCTGCACTTTTCGGAATGTTTCGTCGTTAATTGCTTCGCGGACTGCTTTGTTCAACGTTTGCTCCAACGCCCGTTGTTTCGTTTTACTCAACCCATCGTAGTAGCTGTCAAATAACCGTAAATATAATTATCTTAACAAATACCCAAATAAAAAAGTTTCAAATTATTTGGAATTCGTTATGCTTTCATGACCATGAAACTCAATAGTCATCATGACGATAGTCGTCATGTTTTTACGTAACGTTTCCTCCATTTCTATCAGTATAATTTATTCTATACCCAATCAAGCTTAACTTCAATTACCTCGAATCCAGGGAGCTGTTATCTCGTGAAATATTCTTATCGCGAACCAGGCGAATATCGTGTTCCCAGAATCGGCGTAATTCCGGCGTAGATGTGTACGGAGCGGCGACTTCCTTAATCTGTTGGAGGAAACCGCGGGTCAGTGATTGGGCGAAAGGAACTATGGCGTTATTTACTGCGCGGTGCAAAAGGGAAAAGCAGCATTACAGAGATTGAACACGTTTATGGTCTAGCATTATAGGTGGTAGCCGGTTGTGTAACGGCACCGCCAAGGCGGTTTTCTGAAATTATCGTGGGAAATTGCTCGGCATTATTTTCGCTGCCTCGTGCGTGATCTCAGTTGAGCGAACGTCTGATGACCTCACTTACCTTCAGAACTATTATCGCCGTGATGAAGATACACATCACGTTGATAAAGGTCAAGCATGCGCTGATTATGCCATTGCAGAAGAACTCGACCGGCAAATAATCCGTGTACACGTAAACATAAGAAGTGTTGTAATCTGTGTAGGACTCGCCTTTCATGTGAGGCATTTTAATCGGACGATAGATCAGCCATATACACCCCAACGCCCAAAATAAGCCCTATGAGAATTTGTTTCGTTATTTTGCAACGGGTACTTCGAGGAGATTAGATTTTTCGATAAAAATGGTAACAACTATAATGTAGTACATTGTACTACATTATTCCAATGTACAACTGGAATGGTAACAAAAATGGTAACAACAATATATAAAAATGGTAGCAACTATAATGTAGTACATTGTAGTACATTGGAATAATGTACTACATTGGAGCGAAATTCAGTAGGTACATAGATGCAGCAAGTAATCTTGTTATTTCATGTTTGACTTTGAAACTATTACTTTTATAATCGATTGGTTGCTTGTCACTCACGCAATTTACTACTGGGGGTAGCAAGGAAGCTGATATGGCGACTCCAATTAAGGGTCCATTGCTTCCCTGTAACAATGCCACAGCTACTCCAGTGCCAGATGGGAGAGCCCATAACACACCCATCCAGAGGGACCTGTAATTCCCCCTGGGAACGATATATTTATCTTTAGATATTTTTTTCCATAAGTTGTCTATAATGTTTATATGGACGATGACAGTCAATATGTCGATTTTTATTCTTCAAAATAATTCCTTATAAATTATAACAAAGTTTTTATTATTTCAGTAAGTTACGGACATACCTGCCTTTCATTTCATCGGTTGGCCAGTCGTTATACCCCCACGGCATTTCAGTAGTGCCCAGAATGAGGCCAAATATGAAACCAAAGAGTATGGAGAGAAATATGCCTAGCAACAAACTTTTCAATCCAATAAACTGGAGATTTCTGTCGGCTATAATAGTGCCAAAGGTTAACGACATTACAGGACCCTTAAAAAGTATTACAGGTGAATAGCATTGTGTAAAATTATTCAAATTGGGAAATTTTTTAAAGTTACCATTAATGGAGATACCAACATGGCCGCGACGACATTTGTTGCGCTGTTTTCGATGAGGCCCAATGCTGCAAGACAACTGCAGAAAATTTTAATAACAATCGTATATACCGTCATTTCAAAATTCAGTCAAAAACACCTTATTATTTAAAGGAAAAACAAACATTTCTTACTCCGCGGTAAGTACCAATAACACATAATCGAACGTTAAATCGCCCCCGCTACGAACGCCGTCCACAACTTGTTTCACTGTCAATTTCGATCGTATCGACTCCACGAAACCTTCCCAAGCATTCTTCCTCTCTTCCGACTCTTTTCGCCTGAAAGTTTAAATCCCAATTCTGTAGCGGTTTGATGCTACTTCAATCGTTACATCGAGTAATTCTCTATTCCGACATTAACCTTCGTGCCAAATCGTCTTTAATGGCCGCGGAGCCGACGCTACCCATGCCACTGTACGTGCACTGGGTCGGAATCACGCTGAGAAATGTTTAAGAGCGAATGAAGACACTTTGAAAACATTCTGCGCGGCTTGTTTCGAGGCAACATTAAGATAAGTCACCTTACTATGGAGTTCATTTTCACGCCGATTCCCATTTCCGTGAGACAGTGGAGGCAATTCTCGCATGGTTCCCCGGCAGGGACCGGAAATATCACCTTCGTTTGAAGAAAAGTGGAATTCAACCACAAATATAATAGTGATCAAACATTTTCAATCTTACCTCGTAGTACATGTCCTCTTTATCTTTGCACCAGACGATGTGCTCGACCTTCAGTTTCTTCAGCAACTCTTCTAAAACCTTTTGGCGATCGAAACATAATGAAGAAATGCATTGCGCGTGATAATGAATTGTCGATACTTAGTCGAACTTAAATCATTCATAATTTTAATGCTTTAGAGAATGACAGCATTTAAAACTATATAACTTTTTAAATATTTTTTAACCGTGATTTACACATATCTTTGATATTGTTACCGTTTCCATCGACACAAAAACAGGGCTCCTTCCTCGCAGACCGGAAGTGTCGTTTCCCCGAGCTCGAAGGAACCTTCTGGTTCCCGAATCGTTGGTAATGTCCACATCATCCACCTCGTCCTCGTTGTCGAGCGTCAAAAGTTGAGTTTTTGTTCTTGTTTCTCTGAGACGTACATTTACCTTCGGCACGTCTACCGGTTTCTCAAATTTCTCATTCTTCCTAAATGGTTTCAGCGGCACGCCGAAGATCAGTTCGTGTTCGTAGTTGGACGTAGGTATGCACACTAAAAAAACGACGCCACCAGGCATCCTATTTTTGAGGAATTATTCGATTCAGGCTATTGATCTCGCGTCGCGGTTTCGTGATCTTCTTCGGACTCACGACTCTGCTCTCTCTTCGAAAGATCCCTAAGCCTTGCATAGACCTTCCGAAGTATCAGTTTCATTAGCAGATCACTAATCACTTTATTGTTTCGTTTTTAATTAACATTGGCGTTGGGTAAGTCGGTACTCGGGCTTCTTCAAGTGTCATTAAGTAATTTTCAAATATGCATACCGTATTTAACGCTTGAGTTGTTGGAATATTATTTATTGTCATTCATTAACAATGTAATTATATTCTAAAAAGAAAATGATAAATGTTTTAAATTCAATCATTATTACTTATATTTATAACAAATGTTTTTGTGCAAACTTTCCTATCGTTATCAGGTGTGAAAAAAACTGTTTCCTCTTCGTTGAAGAAGGTTTCAGCTATTACCGTCAGATGGCGCCAACAGCCACATTTTAAATTTCGTACCGTCACCAACAAAACACCAATTACATGTAAAGAACATACTTTGTATTTATTTTTGATGTTACAGTCATGTCACTTACGACAATAAAATTCTCACAGACTACATTCATCATCGGGAAAAGGACGTCAATGAAAAAGGCTCTCGTTTTTACGAAATAAACATTTATTTTAACAAATCAACAGCGTAAAGACTAGCGTCTAGAGACTAGTCCGACATCACGTCCGACCTAGATAACTAGAGGCCACCAGGAATATCCCGCGAAGGGAAATTTCGAGCTTGTTCCGAGATTTTCACGAGAATTGACTCTTTATATATTTGTTAAAAGCGCATATTTCAAGCGAACTGTGCGCGAAAGGAATACTCCCTAAACGATAACCCTAGGGAATCCCTAAAAATCATATCCTTAATCCGAACTATTCAACGATTATCCTAAAAGAAATGAAACCTCGACGGTGTTCCGGTCAATTCCATAAGTACTTAAGTACATAGACGCGGCCGGCGCCGCGTTGAATCGTCTTAAATTAGTCAACAACCCTGTTCTCAATTCTCATGAAAATTGGAAGTCTGATCTTTCCCTTTGCACCCTTCCATTAGTCGCGCACCTTGACACGCCGATGTCCTTTAACTCCGTGTCCAATAAATGATGGTAATAATACGTTCATCGTAATAACTGGCTACGTTATCCGCTATGAAAAGTTCCTTTATTTACATACGGTCTGTTAATGGTCGCATTAGTTACTGAGCCTACGACTGTTTCCTCCGCGGCTGGTTTCATTTTTTTTTGTTCTTCTGCTTGAGACTTTTATCCTTTTATTTATTCATCTCGTCGTCGTCATTTATCATTACTTCACTTTTAAGGCCATATTTAAGGAGAGGAGACAACTTCCATGTGTATCTGTCGCCGTGAGAAAGACTTCGACGATCCACGGTAGGATGTCACTCTGTTATACAAGATCTGTCCTTATGAAATGGAACCTGAACCTCAGAGTTGAATTATACGTGGAAAATAACGATTAAAACGTTCGCGTTGAAGTACATGACAAATTTTACATTGTTAAAGTCTTGCAACCATTTTGTCGCAATTCAAGTTGAATTAAAAGTCATCCAAACGGTTTTCCAATTGAATCAAATTCAAAGATATTCGATAATGACGTTCAGTGTTTGACGACTCGGATCGTTAATATCGTTAACACGATCGATGTTAACTTATATTAACTTCGAAACGAAATAGTGAATTATTTAGAGGTAGATACCTACATTAATGTTAATGAGATCTTGATGGCGCAAAGGGTCTAGTGTCGATGTACGGAAACGAATTCAAAATTTTACCAAAAATAGAATCGATATTATGCAATGATAATACTGGTAATATTGAGCACTCGATGAGACGAAACCCCAAGCGAAATTTAATGAGTCACAGGTGAACGTTTACCACGATTCTTCTCGTGGTTTGTTATTGCTCCTTTTCGAATGGATTCCATCCACAAGGATATATCCCATATAAACGGTATTGAAGGAATGCTCATTTTGTTGATCCTCGAGTTTCTTGCGTCTCAGTACGAAGCATTTTGCTTTACTATTATTATCTTCTTTTTAGAGATTCCTCTCTAAAGTGGATGAACTAGGAAACGGTCACGTCGGGATCATCATTGAAAACGTGACCGTCGGCGAGCACGCTTGTTGCATTGAAATATTGAGTCGCTGCGGAGACCACTGCAGAATTCCGTAACGTATTCGAATAATTTGAGAAATCGCAACAAATTGCTTCCTTTGCCATGAATGGGAAGAAGCGTTTGTTTATTTCATTGATAATGAAAATTCAAAATTCATGGAATTTCATTAGACATTTCATTAAATATGAAATGTCGTCTTCATTTTAATATTTCACGAAAATCTCCGAAGGAACTCAATCGTTAGCAAGGCAGATTGCCAGAAAGGAGACAGTGAAATTTCTATCGCTGAGAACGCAATCCCGTCAGACGTAAATTTTATAATACAAGAATTTTAGAAAATTTTAAAGAAAGGCCTTAAAGTTCTTAACCGAGACAGAATTTTCTTACTCTTACTTAATGATCCAAAATTTCATAATTGGAATGTCTACATTACTCTAAATTATATTAGCCACAACATTTATCACGAGGCGAGTAACGTCAAGTATTATTCGATTATTAACAGTGTTACAGAATTAAGCGTTTAAAATGCAGAATGAATTATCTAAATTTTTGGTCTCAACAAGATCGTTCCTCTCAGCCGAAGATACAGTCGTCCTTTCTGAGTCCAGTTGCGCCTCGGCGGCATGTCAAAACCTTGCGTGTCTAAAAACTGTGAAGCGAATCGCTCGATGATCTTCAGCGTGGCGCGACGATTGCCGTATCTCGTATCACCCGGGAAAGAAAAAACGAAAAAACAGAGGTGAACCTGTAGATTAACTACTATGACGATTTTTAAATATTTTGCAGAAATCGATATTTGGACAACATGTTTCTCTTACATAAATGTTGAACTCCTTTAGTTTCCAAAGCATTAATAAAGACCACCGGATTCAGACTTGAAAAATTGTTAGCAATTACAAAGTAAAAGTTTCGTAAAACTTTCACCCTGAGAAAATTAGAATATATTCGTATACATTATAAGAAACGTCATCAACGACTGAAGGCAGAAAATTTGAATTTGATACCGAACGAAAACATACACACAAACGATTACTGCATAATTCGGAAAAATTCACTGTGCTATTGGTAGTTTTCACGAATATCTCGGAGACTAAAGGAGTATGATATTTTTATACAAGGAAAGAGCTTGTCGAAACTATCCACGTCTACATACTTAAAACCATGGAAATCATTGAGGGAGTAGTTAATCTACAAGCCGACCAAAAGGGAGCAACACGGAATCGCGTCCTTACGTCTCGCCGTCGAAGAAAAGTCTCACCCGTCGTTCCTCGTTCTCACGCTCTCGTAACCGGAAGCACCGGTCGCCGCTAGGATACTTCTAGGAATCTTAAGGCCACGATACCAAGTCTCGTCAGCGATCGTTACGTTTAGTCGCGCGGGAAGTGCCACGCGGTGCTCGTTGCTCAATACCCGCGCGAAGAGAAAAAGAAAAGAAACGCGTTTCGGGCATTCGTAGGAAATCGCGCAACCGCGATCGATCGTTCGCCGCGAACGCGAGCCGCGAAGATCGATCGGAAATAAGCCACGACGCGTGACGATCACGCGTACGTTCCGCGTTCGTGCAAACGGGAAGTGCATCGAAAATGAATTACGGAAAACCAGCCGTTCCTCCTCCCTCTCCACCGATCTATCTTGTCCGACCATCGGCCGCACGTGGAGGAAATGGTATCGGTTAAAAAAATAGCTTTCTCTTTTTGTCTTTCCATCTCCCTCTCCATCTTCCTGTCTCCCTCCCTCGCTTCCTGTCGCTATCTATCTCGCGCCCGTCCACTGTTTCGGATATTCGAAAGCATTTGCGCGCAGTGTGGTCCGAGTATTAAAAGGATCGCGGTCGATCATCGGTCGAAAACGGCATCGACGTTCATCAGCCGCGATCGATCTGCTCGAACGACGCGCGCTCTTCACGGTGCCCGATAAAATTACGGGGAAGAGTAACGTGACGCAGACGCGGGAAAAGAAGCGGGAGTTCTATCATCATCAAAAGCTACTATCGAATTGGACAATCTTGTTTACTCGAACGTCCGCCTTGGCTCCACGCGTTCACAAAATTTCAGAAAATATACCGTCGTCTAATCTACCATCTTTCTCAAATAATACAACAGTATCGTTTAAGATTTCATCAAAGTCGCTGCCCGACAAAATGGCGCGCGATGTGTCTATGAATTCAACCGCAAACTCTATGACGAGAACATCGTCTTCAATCTCTTCAAGAAATACCGACTTCCGGGAACGACGCGCGCGAAACTCGAAATTCATTGAGCCCACTGAGAGAACGCCCGTGTTTGGATTCCCGCGCGTGCGCCCCGTTAGCCCAGCTCTTCGACTCGGGGAAAAATATTCATCTCTGAAATTGGAAAACTAGCTCTACCGGCCCCGAAGTGACTCGTTTCCGCGTGCGAACGCAAAGCATCGGTGGTCAACGAGGATACTTTCCGTCGTCGTGGTCCTGCAGAAGATGAGGCTGCCGATGCGCCAAGATGGCGGTTGGCCCGAGACGCCAAGATGGCGGCGGGCCCGCCGTCCGTCTCGCGTGCCGGAACGGTCGCGGGGAGCACCGTCGATCGACTCGGGTTGGTTCAGCAGTGATCTTTCAGGAGAAATCGCTGGAGTCACGGGCGATCTGTGAATGTTCCCCCCAACCTATCATCGACGCCCTCAAACGGGGGCGCTGGGTCGTCGCAGGAGAGACGAGAGTAACGAACGCCGAGGTGGTCGCCGCCACGGGCGACGCAGTCGGCGCTCGTTGTCCGGGTAGGACGATGTCTGCTCCTCGACGATCCCCAAGGGTCAAGCTTTCTCTTCCTCCTCGTCGATGTCCTCCGACGACTCCGAGGAATCCGTGATGAGAGCGGTCGAGAGACTAGGCACCTGAGCCGAGTAGGGGAACGAGCTCATCCGGTACTTGTGCGGCGGGTTCCAGCATTCCGGCAGAGAGTGGGAACCGTCGTCCGTCACCTTGTCTGACTGGGACCTCTCCATGGAGCCCAGCTCCATCATCGATACCCTCCTCGTCGGTCCCCTCCTCCCGTCTGCAACAATCCAGTTCTTTGCTCATCCGATTGTAGCCTTCTGTATGAACTAACCCTTTGCGGTCCGAAGTGTTTTTGGATTTTCATTGTGGAACTTGTATGAATGTTATGTAACTCAAATTCGATATGGCAATTTGGTTCGTTCAAAAAAATTTGGGAAGCTTGAAAATTAGTTACTAGAATAATTGTGGCGATGATCGATGAAAAAAGTAGTAGGTGTTGGAGTGAAACTGAATGTTGTGTGTGCTCTGGACCGCAAAGGGTGAAGGGGTTAGTTGAAATGACCGTGGGGTGAGACGACTCACATAATTTCGCGAACGTAGGCTCAATGCATTCTACACTGAAACAAGTATATCTCCTCAGAGTTTCGTCTCGATATATTTCAAATCGCAGAAGTGTTTTGAAATTCAGCTTGTTAATAGTTATTCTAACCGACTGTGATCTGATCACTGCGGCCTATCGTTTCTTAGTTAGGTTTTACTCGTTTAGTTTGTTACGCGTCGTTGTGGTTAGTATAATAAATGTCATAAAATGAGTGTTTTACTTTTCATAGAAATCTGGAATCGATCAGAGACTCGTTTGCTCCGTCAAGGGTCCCTCGGAGTCTAAATAAAATGAAAACCCCGTTAAACAATAATTCCATAAATTTTGTAGTTTATTGGTGTCGTGTATAAATAAAAAAAATACACGAGGGACAGGCTTATCGACTCTTGGTGTACAAGAATGAATTAGGAATACTTACTCGAGGCTCTCGAGGGAGAGTCTGTCTGTTCCGTCAACGTGAAGTCGTCGTGCTTGTCCAGGATGTCTTGATCTATACTGTTGGGTGTGCAGACGCTGTCGCGACGGAACAGGCCAATCACTGACTGAACCTTCGGCTGTTCGATTCCACCTACAGTCAGGAGAATTCGTTGACAATTCGTATGAAACATCGATCACCAGGCTGTTTCGTTTCTTTTGACCATTGCAAACAGTAACCAAGTTATTCAATTATCCCCATTTAATTGTTTTATTCCATAGCACTTCAGCGCAAAATCAAATTCTCGATTTTTATCTAACTAAAATGTAACAAATGAAACCTTAATATTCGATGTTTAATCAAATATTATCACACCCATAGTCAAAACGAACGAAACACACCGCACAAGGTGCACGGAAGTGAGAAAACGAGTGCTGTTGAAAACAGAACGTACACGTGGAAACGGAAACAAAACAAAGTGACTGTTCTCAGAGGCTGAGTTTCAGAGACGAACACTCGAGCACGAGGCAAGAAAACGAAACGAATTCGCATGGTGTCGTTAGTGTGCCGAGTGCCTGTGTAGATGTGTATGTGTGTGGGTTGAGAGATCTGCCAAAGGGGATTGGGTAACCCAAAGATCGAAGAAAAGAACGCATTTCCCATAGACCATCGATAGAAAAGAAAAGGAAAAACGACAGGAAATTCGGAAAGATCTGATGCATGACATTTACATGTTCTCCGACCGGTAGCGGCTGTTATTGCGATCCGAAGGTATCCCCCGGCTTCGTAAGCTGCCTCGTCCTCAAAAATATGCATCCCCTGTAAAGTAGTGGTTTGTTTTTTCACCGTTCACGTACCTGCCATTATCACATCTAGCCAACGATCGACAGATTTTTTAACAGACATTTTAGTTTCTGACGCGACGACGACGGTAGCTGTAAACTTTAACATTCTTACTTATTGTTAGCCTGTTACCTTACACACCATCCTGTTTTAGAAATATTCAAGGCGCATCTTACAACCTTCTGATTAACCACTAAACTGTAAATATGCTTGTAAATCAATTTACAGTGTGATATGAAGCTCTCCTATCAGTTTGTTATGAAACTTTGGAAAAATGTAGCTTTTCCTTCTACGTGTAAGGGATTACCCGACCCCCGTTAAAAGAAATCCTCGAGATTCGTTCAGAGTAAGCAGTGATTTTCTTAACAATGATAGTATGGTTCTTATCGTACAGTGTATTAAATTATAAAGAGTAAAGAGTGTCGTGTATTAAAAGTGTCGATTCTTTAACTGTTTGAAGTGTCAGCCAATGAAATCAGTGTACTGTTGCTACTCTATCTTTGATACTATTTGATCCTGTGAATATTAATAACGAAGTAGACTCAATCTTCTTCGGGTAATCTCACCTAAGAAAGTAGCTGAGGGTGAACTGTACGCTAGATACTCTTTGTTCGAACACCAAGCGGGAAATTCGTTTTGTTTGATAGGGTGACCAGAATCATAGTCGTCCTCCCTCTTCCATGGTAGCATGGTTTCGGTGGCGGTGGGCGTTGTCACCCTGTAGCTCTCTGTAATGAAAAAATCAAAGTGTTACCTTCAAAATTTCAATAATATTTTGTTTCGAAATTGTAATACTTTCTACGAATTCTAGTAATATCTTAAACATGATTAAGAGAAGTTCATTTAGTTTCTATATTGCATACAAATCTCAACCCCTTGATTCACGGAACACAAAAGAAAATATCGTACCACATGAATTTCTTTCTTGTTAATCTTTTCAACGATAGTTATTTCTATTAACAAAATTTACCATCATTTCTCAATTTAAAAGTATCCTTTACCGTGTTAATAGTAAGGAAAACTAATTCGTAGCGCAGATATTGTTCGCTTTGAAACGTTCGAGGTAAACACAATTTATCATCATTTCTCAATTTAAAAATACCCTTTACCGTATTCACTTCAAGCGCTTCAAGGTAAACAATAATGTCTTCCCTACAAACGAAACCCATTTCAACTGATAAAACAGAAAACGAAACTACGAAAACGGGAAGATCAAAGTTACAGAGAAGAACAGTGTCGAGTAATAAAAGAATGTCGCACCGTCGCGGCCGAGCTTCATATCCGGATCCTCCGTGTTAATGGTGTCCATCGAGGTGGTCGTGGTGGCGCCGTGTTGGGTCTCCGCGTTCACGTTCGACGAGTCTATGAAAATCAAGCGATAAGACATTTGCCTGTGAATCGCCCGGCGAAATTACTCGCCCCCGGCTTCGCGGCCATTGAAAGAAGACTTTAACGAGAACGGACTAATCATGGCGGGAACTGATTCCTTCAAAGGGGCCGAGAAAATTCGCCGGAAACTTCGCGCTCTAATGAGACACGGTGGGGAACTTGGACGATGAAAAAACCCCCTGGAATCCTTACCGGAAGTGCGAGCCGTGAAAGTTATCGCCGAGTCCCAGTCCTCTTTGCTGGACGGCTTCGAGGTATCACCGTTCTCCAACTCGTACAGCACGCCGTTGATGTAATCTGCGACGAATTTCGGATTCACGTATTCACGTATTCAAAAGGGGAACACTCCTTTTTATGCCCGCCGCGCGCGAGCATCGATAGTCTTTCTCTAATTTACCTTGGGTGAACAACTTCGTCGAGCCGTTCTGCTGGAACTCCGGGAAACTCACGTGGTTCTGCTTGCCGTCCTGCAATCGAGAAACCGAAGTTTTAATTGCGAATAGGACCGGTCGGCCGCGACTAGATAGAAATTAAGGCGGCGAGCGCGTGATGGAAAAGATGAATCCGTGTTATTCAAGGTAGAGGAACTTGTTCGAGGGTTATTAAAAGTTGAATGCTTAGAAAATATGTTGGCGTTTGTGAAAGTTTCGGATTTTGAAATGTTCGAGTATTGGATTACCATTAGATAATTATATCTTTCAGGAATTCGCATAGAGAACGTTTTACAGTGAGATGTAATTCATATGAATTGAGATTGTAGAGGTTGATTTTCTAAGGACTGAATAAAACAATTCAGTTCTGCAGAGTTATAATGAACCGGCGATTAAGTGAACAATGCTTGTAGGAGAAAATACTCACTTTGAGGAACTTCCTATTGCGCTTGTGACGATGCTTGGGCTCGCCCATCATCCGTCGTATGTTCATGTGCATTTTGTAATTGACTTGGGTCGAGAGATCGCGATCATTCACCGCGTGTCGGCTGTAGCTCAGCCGTCGATGCTGGGAGAATTTTATTTCATCACTCAGGAACTTGTTTCCATCTCCCTTTTTCTTTATTTTTATATAGCGGTTCTGAAATAGGTAGCTAAACTTTAGGAGTGCATGCGTTCTTACGAAACTTTCGTTCACAGCCAAGTGTCTCTTTTTTTTGCCCCCCTCGTTTGCTTCCCCTCTCTCCCTCTCTTTCGCTCTCACGAACGAGCACCCAAAGTTCAGCCACTTACTTGAGAATCACCCTGTAGAAGCGGCAACGAAAGGCTAAAGAGGAACACTCTGTGCTACAGGGCAGCTTTCTTTTGCTCTTCAGTGCAAGCGGAAGCGTGAACTTGAACCGTCAAGCCCTTAACTGTCGATTTCGCTCACTTACCCCTGTCTCGAAACCGATTCTCCCTGTTCTTGCTAATAATTTAACAAACAGTTCCTTTCAGTTTCCCCAGTATCAACCCTTACGTTAGCAACCGAAACATCTGTACCCGTTCAAACCACAACTTCAACTGAAACATTTACTTCTAAATTGTCAAAAGAAAATTGAGATTCAAAGCAATTTCGTCAAATTTTCAGAGGAACGTACCAAATGATCTATAACGAAATTGAAATCTAAGTACCCAGGTTGCTAACGCGAGGGTTAACAGCGAAAATCGACAGTTAAAGGTTCCCGACGTGCAAACACGATTCGCGTTCACGTGCTGGAGGGTGAAAGTCGCGTGATTTTTCTCTGTCTTTCTAAGTAACGCGACACTAGCCGTGGTTAGCGTGGACGTAGGTGGCGAGGGGTGACGGGATCGAAATTCTTCAGCGGCGCGATCTAAACATCCCTCCCAGTCAGCAAAGTTTTCAGGGCCGCGAGCATATATGTAAATCGCCGTCAGCAAGGAGGGTGTCTTACCCTCTTGTAAGGCTTGCAAAGTTCCTCGGCCAATAGATGGTGGATCCTGGCGTCCGTCAGGTCCTTCTTGGAAGGGTTGTACTCCACCTCTTGAGGATCAATATTCCAGCCCGCTTCGAGCTGGCTGCAACTTGGACTGGAAGGAGAAAGAATGAGACTGCATTTTATGACGGGCTGCCACTTCGAGATCGATACCGTGCCTCGAGGAGGGTTTGCTGTTCAATCGAGATACAATGCAGACTTATCTTCGGCCACGTTTCCACGAACAACGGGCCGGGGTGAGTCATTGGTACTTTTCAGCCCTAAACTACTTTCTGGGCCATCAACGTCGCGGACAGTGATGCTGGGCTTATTCGGCGTGACAGGTCCCGAGATAACGTGGTTATGACTTCTTCGAAATAAGACATGAAAATGTCTGGTCGATCAATAATTTACGAGCCGTGTAGTTTCGAAGATTAACCCCGTGTTTTTCTTTTAGACGTCGGTGGCGGTCCCGGTATCCCGTGGAATTTTGACAGGGCACGAGATAGAAACCGGATTATGATGCATTCGTAAACTTTCGTGGGATAAAAAGACACTGATAGTTGAGTGATGCATTTTAGTTCGACCGTCAGTTTGACTTTTATGTGTACTACATGTATTCCGTTAACGCAGGCTTTTTTAATATTACATTTACTTGGATTAAACGAGTTTTGCGATTTAAGTGAGTTGCAAGAAGAAAAATCTAATCATTTTTATTATAAATCTTAAGAGATCACTGTAAAGATATTAATAGATTTGCGGACGTTTATTCTATACTTTATTCTATTGTTCCTAAAAACCTACGTGTTCGTCTATATAAATTGAAAAAATTGCAGCTTCTAAACCAGAGTATTGCAATGTGTATTCGCGTAATTGCACGGACCAAAATCAACTTAAACTGTTACTAAATAGCGTTTAAAAAATTCAATATCCGTCATATTAGTGTTGAAAGCGAGAAACATGAAAGTTCGAAATTAACGAAAATCCATAATTTTCGATAGGAAAGAATCTCCCACGGAAGAATGATATTTCCTAATTATTCGAAGCTCTCGATGTTATCGAATAATCGAATCAAGAGCGATTCGAATTTTCATTAAATGCTGGCTAGCTCACGCAGCCTTAACTGGTCTTTCGTTAATTAAAACTTTCTTTGTAATTACTATTTCGCTCCTTTGGAGCGTCACGGGTAGCGAGTCTGTTGTCTCAAAGGAGTATTCCCGACAGTATTTGTTATTGTGAAAAATAAGCAGGTCAAGTATAAACGAGATAACTTCTTGCCCGGTACGTATTGAATTGTAACCGGGAGAAATGGAGACAGGGTAGAACGGAAGAGGCGAAAAAGGAGGAATCATACCTTCCATTGAACTGTCCCGTGTTGCTATAGTTCCGGAATATTGCGGACATGCTTTCCGTGCCGCTGATATTACCAATAGTGGACGCGTTCCTCCTAATGTAATCCAGAGCGTCTTTCATTGCGAGCTTCGAGTACGTTTCCAATATTTTCGGTTCGGCGCCGTAATGATCTCTCACCAAGTACGGCCGAATGAACTTGTTATCGAACCGTTTGAACCTAGAATTACACCACAATATGAGAAAATAACGAGACTCGCGTCATTACGGAATAGTAAAAGAGAAAGAACAAAAAGAATCGGTTAAAAATACAAAAATAAATGCTCTACCGGAAAGTTCTGCTCGATAATGTCATCTCGAGTTTCCAAAGAGGAGTTATTCTATAGAAATGTAATCCACCTACCACCATACTGGGAGGAGGTCATTAGTAACGACAGAAATTATACTGTAATATTAATAAATTTTTTGAAAACGTATTATGTTCTTTTAATTAAAAAATGGACAGAACTTTCCGGTATCTCTAACAATGAAACTACTATTACTAAAACAATTCGTTAACAACAAACGATCGACTGCATAGGTGTACGAACAAGTTTCTACTTTCATCGATCACAAACTTAGCAAATAGCACAAGCAAAACAAAAAATCCAAATATTCCCCATTTCTATAAAATTCTACATATTTCAATAGAATTCAGCAATTTAAACCTCTATATATACCTCAAACATAATTTAAATACTATCAAATTCTTAATTTCCTTGAAAATAATGTCCAAGTGAACAGTACCCCGTTCCTAACCTCCATATTTGCATGATCCCAAAGCTACCCGTGACTGGCCAACGAAAAAGCTCTATCACGCGGTGAGTTTAAAGCGCGTGTTCGCGGACAGAACGCGATACCGCGAGTGATTAAGTATTCATTAAACACAGAAGAGTTATGTACTTGTCTCGGACATGGTAGTTCCCGTGCTTGCCCAAAATGTCCTCGATCCCGGCCATAACGTGATCTATTATCTGAAAACAGAAACGTCATTTTCCTTCTCTCTCTCTTTTTCTCTCTCGTTTTTTCTCTTTTTCGACGTCCGGCGCAGGGCCGGACCGTCGCGTCGGGGGTGGCCGCTTATTATATCCGTTATCTGGCGTGATATATGCTAAGAGTATCAACCACGAAACGACTCGGTTAATTTACTGGGCCATTGTTCTTGTTTTGACACGTTCATTTGGGAAACGGGCCGCGAGTGCCGCCGCTTGAAAATCAATGCGATCCTCCCATGCACACGCGGACGGGCAAACGATTATTGATTCCGCCCCGGTATCGTGGCCCGGCTATTCTTTTTCAATATTTATATTAACGACACGAGGATGCACCCGCGGCGGGTCTATAATTTACAACGCGGCGCGACCCCTCTCCCGCCTTGGCCTCTCCTTCCTACGTCTAGTATTTTTATTAACCGATCGATCCCCGCCGCAAGGAATCATTAAAAAACAAGAACGTAGGAGAACGTTAACGGGCAACGGCGTTAAGTAGCGCGAGCAACTGCACGCACCCTTTCGTGAATCCTCTCGTTCATCGTCGGCTTCTTCCTCTCGGCCCTCTTCACGTTCAGGATCTTCACCAGCGGCTTGATCGTGATGCCCTAGAAATGGTACGGGTCGTGAGTTCTATGACGATGAGCAGAGCTCTCTGTTTTGAGTGCTTGTTATGAAAAGAATGTTGTTTGTGGATGTACGATGCAATTTTTATGATGGCCTGAGTGCTAGGGGTGGGATTCTACGCGAGGGAGGAATGTAAAGGACGTCTGTGGATTGTAAGTTTTGTATCGGAGAAGTTTGTTGAAAATTTTGCGAGACACGTTTAACACGATATGGCGGATGAAGTTTCTCTTTTTTAAGTGAAAGCCTGATTTCCAAGTATTTGACGTACATCGAAATGAGTAAGTATCGAGTAGAAGGAAACAGGATAAAGAGAACGTAGAGCTATTCGATGTAATTAAAGGAAAATAATAATGAGTCACAAAGAACAATAGGTACCCGATTAATCAACGAGACAAAACTAAACCTGGAAAACCGTGTCACTTCAAAAAATTCAAATTTCCAGCTGTAATAAAATACAGCTACCCGAATTATCGAATTACTGTAAACGAACAGGCAAAATGAAAGGGAGCAGTAGTACATCTATAATTTACTATGGCTAAATAACGAAACCCGCTGAAAAGTCGTAACAGAATCCATTCGACCATTCCGATTCGAATCTACAAAAGGGGCGCGCTACAAACGAAGCGCCGTTCAAACGATAAACCGGAAAGGACGTGCCCCATCCCCGGCGCGACCCGTTAACGCGACGCGTTGACAACACTCCGCTTGTAACGCGAAGCATCTCGACCAAAAAACTCTCTCCCCGCGTCGGGTTGCTCTTTTATGCATAAGTTATGCAGGATCGAGCGGTTGTCGCGAGCAAACCGGCGCTCGAACGCCGGTCGGCGTCGATATCGAGTTTCCGATCGACTGGCCGGCAAAGTCGATGGTGTTTTTAGAACTAATGGAACCACGGGGTTGGTCCCGCTTCAATCGCAAACAGGACGCGCCTTCGGGACGAAAAGGGTGGTGTTTTCTCCCATTCCACCGTTCTCCCTCTGTTCTTTACCCGTGACGCTTAACCTTTCGCGATCTAATTGCGTTTCGCGTTTGATTCGCTTTTATTTTAGAACGTTTTAATCCTTCTCTGAAGGAGTCCGGGGAAAATTAAAGCGAATGATTTTGTAGCGTTGGGGTTTGCAGGCACCGGTAAAAGAAGGTATTGCCTGCACCCCAGCGACGTAACCCCTATTTCCTTCGGACCCGTTCTATACGACGGGGGCGCGCGCATATAAAAGAAGAAAAGAATCTTTCGCCTGGGTTATATTCCACGCTAATATCACAGGGGAATATACTTGCAGCTACTAGACCGTGCCGCGGATTGTCGTAAAAGCCTACGCCTCCGGTTTGCCCGTAGTTGTCTATGATGGCGGAATGACCGGGCCGGGTAATAAAAGTTGCCGCGTGCGCCGCCACCGTCGCAACATGTAAAGATACAAATTGCGATAACGGCCGGGTTGCGCATTCTTTTCTTGGGTAGGCGGTCCCGTGCAAAACGCTCGCCGAGGAGCGGGATCTAATCGAGAAGCTACCGAGTTATGGCCTCCATGCAACCGCTGAATAATAAATTTCTGGGAGATTCTCGGCGGTGCGTCCCGTTTAATGGAGCCGGCGGAGATTTATACAATTTTATGAACGCGCGAAATTTATATATAACGGAAGGGCGGCCTTTGGAAATTCGCGGACGCGGAAGGTGGAATTTATTGGAATTCGAAGGGTTGGAAGGATCATCGGGGATTTAAGGATTGGAATATTATCAAATTGAAGGATTCAAGGGTTTGAGGGATTGCGCATGAAAGAATTGAAAAAGTGAAGTTTGTCAGTTGAATCGCTGAATTTCGAAGGTATGAGAAGGAGGCTTGGGGTTTAACACTAAAACTACCGAGCAGTTACATTGACTTTTCGAAATTCCTTTATGGAATCTCCAAGAGTGAATCTATTTAGAGTTTAATTGATTTACAATGCAGTTTTCGTATTGCTAAATTAATTTCTAAAATAATTTCTCAGAGAAGCATCTGTTGTCTTTTTAGTAATTGCAAAAGGAAGACATCAGGAACGAGTCATTTTGACCTGTTTAGTAGTTTTAGCGTTAAAGAATTTTTGCGAACTGGAGAAATGTAACATTCAGACTTTTGAAATATAAAAATTTTTCGGCGTGATAGCGAGACGACAAGTTGTTCGTGACCGATCGTCGATTAGAAATGAAAATTTAATAACAGTAAATTCGACCGGTGTTATCGAACGGTTCCCCGGGGCTAAATCAACATTTCTGAAAGTTTACCCCTGCGCAACCCAGCGCCGCCCGCGGAGCACCGAGTGCCACACTTCGCCGGGATGTTGATTTAGAGAAAAAGGATTTTCCTGCTATTATAGTACCCTCTTTAAATCGAACAACCTTTATCGTCATTCTTCTGTGTACCTACATTCGTGCTCGGAGATTTTCGGGCAGTTACTTCGAGCACATCTATTATTCTCTGAAACGTATTCAGTCCGCAATGCCGGTCCCCGGACCCGGGATACTTTAATTCAATCATTATAATTTATAATATAAACATTTAAAGGTCTAAGGAAACACAATGAATATTTTGAAAAGGAAAATTGTTCCCAATGGAACTCACTTCCGGACAATAATGTATTCAAAGAAAACAGAAGCATCCACTGTATCCTCCACTAGCTGTTCAGTCAACAAATAACGTTACTTATTCCGTCTCGTACAAACGGAGAAATTTCTAAACAAAATAATCATCATCGACAGTCGAAAAATTCTCATAACGGAACCAATTTAACAGTACAATTAATTCGTCCCACTTCAAACTAAATTAACTCTCATATACTTAACCCTTTGTACTCTAAAGGTGACTCTCAGTCACCATTCGATTCGATATACCAAAATTATAAATTATACACACAATATTAAACTCTGTATAATCCATAAACATGTGAAATATAGGAAGAATAACTTTGTTTCTTAACTTATGCATGTTCTACCATTCAGTTCGTTTCAAAGAATGTCGCCTATAACTCGTAAGAATAGATATTTCTGGTCGAAGATTTCCGAGTGCAAAGGGTTAAGTAAACATCAAATTCTCCGAAGAGTGTGACAACACTCGCTCAACCAAAAAAAGATATTTCACTCAATACAACATAGAAAGGACTCCTTCGTCTTCGGTACGAGGCTCAAAGTAAGGTCAAAACTGGATCTTCGAAATATTTCGATTTCCCATGAAACATAAGCCGAAAGCAAAGGTGCGCGTAGGGTTAACGTTCACATCTTCAACCCTACGCTGCCCCTTTGACCAATCGCTGGCAGCTGGCGGCTTGGGAAACGCGACACCGGCTGTTTGCTGAGATAATGCTACAATATTTGCTCTCCCGCGCGGGGGACCGTTGTTATCTCTGTTTTCCGAGGGGAAAAAAAAATGTTCGGTTACCTGAATGAACACGGTGAAGTAGATGACGGCGATGGTGGTCGTGACGAACATCGGTTGCAGCGGCACGTGTCTCGGGTCGATCAGCAGCACCAGGGCGAACGCGACGGCGCCTCGTAATCCACCGTAGGACATCACGAACTTCTCCACCTTGTCCAGCTTGTGCAGTCGGAACTGGTTCGCGACGGCCGTCAGGAAGATCACGCCTGGAAATCCGATTATGATTTTCCTTTTCCTCGATTTTTCTTCGGCTAACAACGCTGGCCTTCGCGGATTTTTAAGTCTCGCTGGGGACAAGCTGGACAATTCACCGGTAAACTGTCAGTAGAATCGAGAAGCCGTAAGCCAGTGACAGTAATCCGCGATGCGAACTCGATGGTCGCGGATGTGGGGGACGAATCCTTTTAAGAGTCTTCCGAGATTTCGTAACCCAAGACAGATAGGAACGCCTCGAACAGGGAAAATCGGGATCTTTTGTCTCCCGTTTCCCCCACTGTTCACCGGTGAAAATGCTCGACGGTACTTGTTGCGTTCGCGGCGGAAGCAAATTGTCTAACGGAACGAAATGAAAATGTCGAGGACCGTTTTAATTCAGCGCGGGGGCGTGTCTGGTGACGTTATCGGGTAGACGCGAAGATTAGGTGATGTCCCACCTTCATAATTAAAATGTGAGTTTGCGTTTTAACCTCTTCAGCCTGTGCCTGGAGGATATTGTAGCGCATACTGTTTTACTGCTTCGATATCTGGCGATATATTAACACGAAAACTACCGGACACGTCAAAATGACCCATTGATTTCTGTGCTTTTAATTATTAAAAGAGTACCAGATGTTTCTCTGAGAAATTATTAGAGAAATCGATTTAGCGACACGTAAACTGATTTGTAAGCTAATTTAAGTATCAATAGATGCACTCTTGTCGTTGCTATAGAGGAATTTCAAAAAGTCAGTTTAACTGCTCGGTAGGTTTAGTGTTAAGTGACAGACAACTATATCAGTCGATTTTTTTATGTTTTCTGATCTTTGTAGATTGTAATGGAATAAATAATATTCTTGTTAGTTATTAAAGGATATATTCGTTTCTTCGTTTTTTTTAGGTCAGAAAGTCCTTTTTATAGCTTCTGAATATGTTGTATAATCATTCCAGAAGCCAAAACATTTCTTTTCTCAATTTTTCTCTGGACTCAACCGCATTGGCTTCTGAGCAACTCATATATAGACCTATTTCCGTTAGAAAAGTAGTACACTCCTGCTTTATGCGAAATAACATCTTTACTGATGGTGCATTAAGTGGACCCATCGGTGTTAAATATTTGAACATAATTTTCTACAAAGTTCAGGTTTGAAGGTGTTATGGGTCGAAATTTTTCGATCGTGATTTTAGCAAGAAAATTGCTAGAAAATCTTCGGGATCGTATTATCGGAATGGAATTCAAAGTTCGATGATGCTCTGGCAAGAGCCGAGTCGACATGCAGCTAAAAGCAAGTTTTTATATTAATCCGAGGACATTTTATATACATTACATGCCAATAATCTAATATATAGCTGGCTTTAAGTTCAGCTCCCCGTTCGAATAATCTCAATATTCAATTCCTCGTCTCGCAGAGCGCGGATTCCGATAGGAAACTTTCTCGAAATTCGTTCGAAAATGCATAAAACATGTCGACCCCCTCCACCGTCGATCCTGTGCCAAAAATGGTCCTCGAACTATTATCGAGTCGTCCTTGCCGGGGGCTAAGGATCTGACTGTAAGAAACGATATTCTTGGCACAATCCCGTAACCGGTAAGTGACACACGATAAGCGGTGATTGGTTTAGCTTAAGTCCCTTATCCCGTAATACTATTACCAAGTCGAACTCGTCTGAATCGCGCGGCAGTATTACATGTATCCGCGAGCTGCTGTATTGATTGGAACGACGCGATTAAGGGTTCCCCATACTCCGAGATCGTTTTCTAACCCCCATCGACCTTGGGACAACTGCTCCGACGACATCGAAATGGAATTGAAATGATCTCGAAGTTAATCGAGTGAAATTTTGATTCCTCCAATCCCTTGTCCGACGACTTAATTTCGCAGTTGCACTTGTTAAAACTGTTTACCGTTAACCTTAGCACGCCAGAGGCGCCCCTTAGTCGCCAAATGATTCGAAACTGCAAAACTGTAATGTTTGATGTTTAATATTGAACTTTGTTTAATGCATCAATGTATGAACTATCGAAAGAAAATAGTTTTCCTCCTCAACGCATGTGCGATTTCTTGCCAACTCAATCTCAGAAAATGTCATTTGCATCTCATTAGAAAATATTGGGTATTTCCAATGAAAAACTTGCGGAGTGCAAAGGATTAGTAATGCACTAGTGAAACAAAAAATCCTCTTTCTATGTATAAATTTGCTCTGAGCCATGCAATTTCTAATGAGAAAAATAATGTTTCATTTAAACTCAGAAGAACTGAACGACATTTATATATGTTAAACAATATTAGAAACCTTCGTCATGAGTCTGAGATGTATATTATAAGGCAAGAGGTTAATGGTTATGTTAGGTAACAATTAATTTATTAATTGTGGTACAAAATCTTTCGTTGTGTAGATGATTTTTGTATGTAAAAATCATTGAATGGGATACAACTACTATTTTGCTGGAAATAGAGTTGTTGACATTATGGGAGAGGTACAACGCGAACATGTACGTTACAAGAGAGATTCTGTTTGCTGCAGAAGAAACTTTTAAAGATTAAAGAGGATTCATTGTTTGAGTACGTCCGGCGTCCATAAAGAAAATCAGGGAAAACGTAAAGGCAAAGGTATCTTATCAGTGTAACATCAAAGCAGGCAGTATACAATCGAATAATGTGGCACAACTAAGAAGAGAATCAGGGTTTACAGCTTCCAATATGGCGTCACAGTGCAAGGGTCAGCTTCTCGAAACATGCTATTAGCGTGTCTTTACTAACAGTCTTTACTGACAGATTCTTTGTACATCTACACACTAAAGACATACTCAGAATCTTACAAAAATTCAGGTGTTCTATCAATATTAACCATATTTTATAAACACTTGAATGATCTTTTTAACACATCTGACAGGTTATGCACCATTTTCTCTTCTCCACCATTTATTGTTTCACGTTCACTAGACAACACATCGATTTTATCTTGCTTTTCACTCATTTGTTCAACAGCTCTTTCCAAATGAATCCCTATCAGTTGTAATAAACTTTGAAGATAATGGAACTGGCGATGTCAGAACCCGTATAAGCTACATTCTACCAATTCAGTTTATTGGTACACTTCGAAGTTCCTTGATTCACCTTAGAAATTAACTACTCCTCCGTATATACATACATACTCTTCCGTTTAAAAGCAACATACACTATGATAATTCTGACCTCGCCAATTCAATGAAGATTCCATAGCAATGCTCTCCAATAAAGGCAACCTATTATTGCAACTGCGTATCAGACTCACCGACGATCCGGTAGAAAGAGCAGAAGACGATGGTCGTAACGACGAACCATGTGTTCCAGTTGTGGGCGTTGTTCACGGTGGCCACCCCGAGGAACATGAATATAATGGTCTCCGATCCACTCGACAGCATTTTCATCGTATATTTGACGGTCGTGTGCGACTTGTGCGATATATTGGCCTCCACGTAGTTCTTCATGGTAATGCCGCAGAAGGTGATCCTGCGATAAAGAGGCCACGGATAATGGGGGGGCGGGAGCAACGGGGTTGAGGCTGGAGGCTAGGGACGACGCGTGCGAGCGTCGGGAAACTCGAGTTATCGATCGTCTCGCGCCGTTTCCTAAACGCCGTTGAAATTAATTCGGACATACGATCCGGGACGGCGGCGTTTACAAAATCGATGTTCACGGTGTTAGGGGACGGGGGACCGGCTCGGTTTGCGGTTATAACACGAACATCCCTCGGCCGACAGATTCGCCGGGGTTGGGAGCTTCTTACGTGAGACCCACGTCAACTAAGTTAATCGAGTTCGTGGGATAAATCTTGGTAAAGATTTACGATACTTACGATACTATTATATTATAAGGATTCCATATTAATTTAGCAAACGTGAAATTAATATGGGGATATCTATTGTTCGGGTTGATAGTGACACTATTTTTTAACCGTTTGGCTACGGCAGAATTTCGAGTCGACACGTATTTCTAAGAAAGTGTATTGAAACCGTCGAAACACTGAACGAAACTAAATGAAATAATTGCATTTATATAATATATGACTAACGGAAGATGTAATTGTTGAATTAGAATTCATTTGGGTCAGGTGCCAACAGTATCCAAGGGGTTAATAAATTATTATAAGAAATTAAGAAATAGGTTTGATTTTTCCTCGTTGTTGTAACTGTTAGTGAAGATTTCTTGGAGGTGATTCTTTGTTTGATTTTAACGTTGAAATTCTGTGAATTTTTATATTTGGAGGAATTTTGATGCGAATGTTGCTTTAAAGGAGATTTTTCTCGAGTAACTTTTATTTAGTTCATAGTACATTAAGGGAGTCTCGCTTAATGGGAACACCTTCTTAATAAGTAAACATAGTAAAATAAATTAATAAGTGTTGCCCGGGTTCTACGGAATTACCCCTTTAGGGACTCGTTAATACGCAGTAAATGCAAGAACTCTGTAGAAATTAGAGTTGAAAACTTTGAAGCCATCCAAACTGTACAGGTAAACGTGAAGTTTCTGCTTCAGTGCACTCTTAAATAACCATAATACTAATTGTGCTTTCCTGAGAGGTTGAAGCAATCGAGTATCAACATACAACTGCGTATTCCCACACACAGTTTCCCATTGTAAAAAAGAATTTACGCGAACTTCATTCGCATATACAGAAGACCCTGCAAGTCTAAAATAAAATTTTCTTTCAACACTAAAAGTACCAGACGGGTCAAAATGACTCATTCCTAATTTATTAATTTTGCAATGATTAAAAAGACGACAAATGTTCCTCTGAGAAATTATTCAAGAAATTGATTCAAGAAACTGAATTATAAATCAATTAAAGTCTCGATAGAGGTACTCTGAAAGTTTCTATAGAGGAATTTCAAAAAATCAATTTATCTGCTTGATAGGTTTACCATGAAAGACATCGTTTCGCATTTTATATGATGTATACCTTTATAGAAGATTTCTCCGTCGGAATTACGGAACAAACCGAGTAAATCGAAGGAAAATTTTTGGGAAATTCTGCCGGTCCTAATTTTATTGAGCCGTAAGAGCGTAGCATTGTGATTCGAATGAAAGGGGGTCGCCGACTGGGCTTCGCCGGGGAGAGTTCTCTCGCGGCTTCTACGCCCCGGTACGTGACTTTCATTTCTTCTGCTTGAAACTTCTTGTACGCGTGAGAGATGCGAAATATTGGAAACTCGCCGTGTTGCATTGTCCATTACTACTTCGTTGTTGTCGAAGAAACGATGAATTATGCATAAGGCAGACGCGCGCGGCTCCTCTGATCGAGGAACTTAACGCGCGAACTTCTCCCCGACAACTATTACGGTTCGAAGGTGAGTTGATGAAAATATGAGGTGCCCCGGAAGTTCGAATGGTATAAATTTACGGCCCTGGAACTTTGAGGAGCCGAGTCTGGCCGCCGGAACTTGGCGCGAATAAATTTTGAGAAATCGAGAGCTGCCCTCATAATAAGATATCCGAAGAAATCAGCAACTGGCAGCCACCGTTCGCCACGGGACCGTTGACGGTTTGAACAACCGTGCCATTTGTATTCCGAGGCAATCAAAGTTTCAGTCCGTCGAAATTAACGCGACGTCTCCGAGCTGAAGAAGATGCGAACACCATTGCGGCCGATGCTCGAAATTCAGCGACAATAACTTTCGAACAATGCGCGTGGCGAGACACCTAATGTCTCGTGAAGATAATAAATTTGACGAAACAGGAAACTTAGGGAACTAATGTAAATCGAAGGTAAACCTCGGAAAATAGGTTTAATCGTCTACATCTAATATCTCTCGAAGATAATATTTAACAAAAAGGAAACTTGGGAAACTACAATTCAAGGTAGATCTCATAGAACAGGCCTAATCATCTACACCTAATATCTCTTGAAGATAATCATAAATTTGATAAAAATAAGAAACTTGGGGAAACAAATGCAAATCAACGACAGATCTCAGACAACAGGTAGAATCATCTACAGCTAACGTCTCACGAGTATTATAAACTTGGCAAAAAGTGGAAACTTAGAAAATTAATGTAAATCAAAGACAGATTTCAGACAACAGGTAGAATCATCTACAGCTAACGTCTCACGAGTATTATAAACTTGGCAAAAAGTGGAAACTTAGAAAATTAATGTAAATCAAAGACAGATCTCAGAGAACAGGTACAATCATCTCTGCTACCGGACGGTTTCTATTTCGCGTTACAAACTACCGTCTTCCCAATTAATTAAAAAGTCGAGGGCGTGCTGCGCGCCAGGCTCTATCACGATAATGAGAATTCCAGCGTTTAACCAAATTTCGTACCAACTGGGGAGCTGTTTTGCTTTCCCCGGGAAGTTACAACTTCCGTTTACTGTGACAACCGCGCCGCGGCGACTTCCACGTGAGCGTCTAAATTATCAAGTGTGCGCGTCCTTGATGCATGCCGTTTCTTAACGTCCCCGCGCGAACGACGCTCAGCCGTGCAGTCTCGCGGGGGATGGTTCTTGTTACGAGCCCGGCGAGCGACGCTCGAAATCCGTCTATTTATCGGACAAACACGGACCGAGCCGGTTTAACCATATAGATAAAAATCGACTGGGCCGCGAGCGGGAACGGTCGATTACAGGGTAAGCATATTTGAACAGTTATTACACGGGGCGCACTTCGCATCGTGATCGATCATCGCCGGGCCCGACTTCGCTGGGAAACGTGTAAATAATAGACTTAACGAGAATCGCGGCGGCGATTGTAAGGCTTTAAGGGATTTATGGGTGGCTTTCAATTATATTGATAAAGGTGAAGAGCTTAGCCTTGGCCGGCTCTACAAATCGACGGATAATTATTAATTATCAGCGGCGGGGGCTGGATGGGAAGGAGGAGGGAAAAATCTAAGAAAGAGGTGAACGACGGAGGGAATCTTCGTCGAAGTTTCTTTGCCACGGTAACAGGCCAGGGGTTCGATATTAAAAGTGCTCGCGAACTTTGTTTATAATTGACTGCAGTAAAGGGTAATTAACTAGTTTCAGAAGCTGATTAAAAGCACGCCGATCGGCTGCTCGCTATTGCCGGCGAACATGCACTTTTCGGTAAATATATGCGATAAATCGCGTGAGAATCGGCCCGGTCGTTCCTCAAATTTATTGCGACACATAATTGGGGGTGTCTAGAAATGCAAGCCCGCTCGTTTAATACGCCCTACGGCAGCTGCGGACACGTGCGAGACGCGTTAGGGTTTATTGGCGGGAATGAGGGAAATATTGTAATGACTCTGGAAATGCGAGCGTAAAAGATTGCGGGGGAGGGGACGCGAAAATTGAAAGTCTTGCGACGGTTTCGAAACGGGACGAGTGGTTTCGAAGTATTCAAGTGGATACGAGATGTTTTAGAAAACGAAATTGAGATATTACTAATCGACTGTATTAGGAATAATCGAAGACTAGAGTAAATTGATTTGGGTTCCGAAGTTCGAGCGATATTAACGTTTATCTCCCACTATCTCCTTATATTTAAGATAATTTAGATCGCCTTCTATAAATTTTCAAAACATTCCAATTATTTTCAAATCTTCTACTAAACATTTCTCACATTTCCAGAAATTTCGAAATACTTTTATTTTAAAGTTTGCATCTTATATTATTTTATGGTAGATAATAAAGTTATTATACAATATCTGTTTGCCACGGAAGTTGAACGAAAACAATGTTGAATTGGTTTGAGATAGGGGATGATTTACTCACGCCAGGATGCTCGACATGTGGAATATCTCAGCGTTCAGGTAGGCCAGGTACGCCATGACGAATATGAAGATGGGCTCGATCACTCGAACCTGATGGGTGAACCTGGTAACGAAACCGGTGGCGAAGCCCCATATCACGCCTATTATGGTGCCGCCGATTGCCACGACGAAGAACGAGGCCAGGCCCGACAGCAGGTCCGTGTAAAGGATTCTCGAAGGTCCCATTTCGCTATACGCCTCGAACATATTGTACAGCACCTGTGAATCAGTAAAAAGTGACGCTTTGCGTGGCTAATTGAACAATTTGTTTGCGTAGCGTCGTCCACGGTAGATTCTTTTGTCATAAATGAAACGGGAGGCACTGAAGACCAAGGACGCTTTATTAATTAGATTCACGAATAAAAATACGAGTTATTGATATTTCCCTATAGTACAATATGATGTGTATCTAGGGGAAAACTCCAGGTAAAAATAAAATCAAAGATTAGAATAAGGGTTTGTAGAATCTAATTTGAATATTCGTTGAACACGCGAGCTGCCGACATCAAAATGGCGGCCGTTTAGGTGTACCTTGAGTATCATTCTATCAATTTTTCGAAAGCTTTCATTATGATTGCGTTACTTAGTAAAACACTAATATTTAATGTGATTTTTTACTAGATTAGAAGGAAATAATTGATAAGAATTTAGAATGTTATCGTTGTATATGTTTTCCTTGCTTCGATAGAAATTATGTTCATAAGAGTACAGTAATAATTCACTTGCATATAATCTCATCTATTTTATAATATAGAAATTATCCGTGAAAGTATGTTATTCTGAATTCTGCGAAAGTAAATGTAATCTTATTTTAATTCATTTATAGCTGTTTCATGCTTTGATTTGCTTTGGAATTTACCGTTAATTCTCGTTAAGGATTGAGGCTGCGAGTGCAGTAACTTTGATTTTGGTGCGGAAAAATACTCACAACGGTAACGGCATCGTTTAGGAGACTCTCCCCGAAAACCACGATATAGAGGATCTCGTTTACGTGGATTTCTTCGAAAACGGCCAACACGGCAACAGGATCAACGGCGCTGATCAACGCGGAGAAGAGGAACATGTCCAGGAGCGGTGTTTCGCAGCCGAATAAACCGCTTTTACCTAGTACCCATAGTGACGCGCCTAAAAATAATATCAAAAACAAATTGGATCTTCATTGATTAATTGCAATCACATAGAACGAAAGTAGAATTAAAATCGACACTAAAAAATTAAAAGAAAAAATTAAAATACGAGATTAAAAACTTGTTTTACATATATTTTCTGCATAAATTTAAATTCTAACACAATATATGTATTTTGAATTGTACAAATTCCATAATTTTCTGTTATTGGTGCTCTAATTTCCAAGATCTATACGAACCCCTATTTTTTTTAAAAACAATGCAATGAAGAGCACAATAAATGCACGTAAATCTAATATTAAATAACTTTAAAGAGCCAAAATTCTTTTATCGCCGATTCACCGTACACGAGATAGTTATTGGCGCCGAGTGCGTTCATCAGATTTACGAAGCCATAAAGTGATTAATTATTATCCGCGTAAAACGCAGCAATCTCGGATCCAGGTAATTTGTCTAACGTTTCATCAGGATTGGCACAGAATAATTGAAAGCAAGTATTTTCCAGGCCGGTAACAATACTCCCTCGAACAATGCAAACATAAAGCTTCCGATGCTCATCAATGATCGCCATTATTTGGTAAAATAAAGCCTCGCCGATTGGTTGAAAGATATCATCGTGAATGCGTTCGAATCTCTTTCAAAGTTCATCGGCACATTCCACTGGATTCTGCAATAATTGAGGAAAATATTCTCGAATAAAGGAAATATAAAAGATACAGTGGGAAAGGATCGTCAGAAATGTATCCTCCGACAAATTATTACAAAGCATGAATTTATCATGAACTTCATAAATCTGAAACGATATTCAATATATATCAAATTAACGCGTCCCGTAAAATGTTAATCCTTTGTCGCTCGAGAAGCAACTCGCAGTCGCCATTTAATTGGAGTTAACAAAATTCTGAGGTCTGATACTCAATACCAAAATTTTATATAATTGTATATAAAGCCTGAAATATTCTAACATAATTATATTCCTTACTTTTCACATGATTTCTCCACAATGTTTCATTTGAAAGTAATGAATACTTGAAACATAGACACTATTTGAAACGAACTAATTAGAAAACGTACGTAAATTAAGAAACAAAGCTATTTTATATAAATATTTCACGTATTGATGCATTATACAAAACTTAGTATTAGACATAACACTTTGTAACTTTGTTATATCAAATCAAATGGTGACTGAGAGTCAGTTCTCGAGTGCAAAGGGTTAATTTCGAGTATAAAGGGTTCACGCATTGACTGTAATGACCGGAGCGTCCAAATTGCCGAAGAACAATTACAATAAGAAAACTGATGTCGAATAAAAATATTTAGTAACATAAGTAGCTGGATAATAGTGCGACGCGAGTATTATGATACCGAATCATTAATAATTATTTTCAATATCATTCGCCTTCGTTATTAAAGAATAAGTATTACTGTACGAAACGCTCGAAATTCTAGTGGCAATCTGTTACAATAATGGCGGCCGGCACTCTGAACGCGAGATGCGTCCTCTATTTTCACGGACACGGCCATTTCTCATCGCGCAGGGGGAAGCATCGTCGATTTCGTAACGACGGTCACGCGTGCCGTGGGCACGTAGTACGTAAACAGAAATCGCGTGGGCGGCTCTTTCGAAGAGTATAGATACATAGTGTTTCCGTAGCAAATCCTTGCGCAATCCTCGAATGCTCGGCGATCGGATTTCGAGAGGAACAAAATATTTTCCGCGTCGGTCTCGTGTATTTTTAAACGCCACCTGATCGTAAATTGGCTTCAGGACTGCTCCGTTGATCGGCGAATTGACAGCGAAGCGTTAGTCGAGAAGACTATGTTTCCTGGTCGTATATTTTCGCTTGCTTGTTCGACAGAAAATTGCGTGCTGCTTTTTAACGATCCATCGAGAATATTTTCCAGTATTTTAATAGTACGATTGAGAATTTTATTAAGTTGCGCTAGTAACGTTTATCGAGAATATTCGAATGTAAAATCTATCGAATGGCGATAAGTTATTAGTTTTATCCTTAACACTAGACTACCGAGCATTTAATTTCGATTAACATCTAATCTCTATAAAAATTGTAACGATGGATTATTTTCAGTTTCTTCAGGCACTTATTATAGTATTCAAGTGAATCTATTTTCAGTATAACTTCGAATATTCAATGCTTTCAACGTATCAATAATTGCGAAACAAAACATTGAAACTAGTTTTTTTTACTGATACGGTAATTAATATATAAATAATAATCAATATTGGGTAGGTTAATATATAATGCACAATGAAACATGAAAAAGTAATTATCCCAATAGATCAACACTCGCACATATAATTTTATTCGCAATGTTGCAGTTACTCGGCGAGAAACTTATCTTCAAATGAAACAAAATTTCCAAAAATTTCTGCAGACCTTTCAAGTTATCTTTCTATCGTCCGTTGTAACATACATTGATCATTCCAAACCATTCTGTTCCATCAAGAACATATATTCAAAAATCAAACGACATTTCGTTAAACGGTGTCTCAAACAATTCAGACTCGACGCAGACGTTCAACAAGGTGTTCCGATGTTACCAGATTCATCGGAACAGAAAAAAAATCAGTGAAATCCCGGAAGAAGAAGGTCGGTAAACTGAGAATCGACTTCGACTTCCGGATTATCCTCGGCACGTTTCTCGCGCGCGTGTTGCGCGGACGTCGAACGAAAATAAAAGGACAACCGTGAGAAAAAAGGAGAACGGGAGAGCAACCAGCGGGTAAACGGGCCGACGCGCGCGATGTTAATCCGTGGAACGAAACGGATTAAACGGGGAGAGGGATAGTTGGAGCGCGAACGCGGAAGGAGTAAGAGGCGAAGGGAAAAAAAGGAATGGAAGAGTTAAAAGGAAAAATCTGGTCGCCTGACGTCCGAGCGACACGACGTTTTATCCGTTTCACCTACCTATCGACAACGTGTTAAATATAGTCCCGACGACGGCGAAGAGAAGTATCGTCCCCAGGTGGTCGAAGAACAGTCGGTTCGGCATGAAATAACCGGCGTCCAGGATAATGGGCGGCAACATGTAGAGGAAGAACGTGTCGGGCGTTAGGGGCGACACGTGGACGCTACTCGCCTGGAACAGTAAGACACCAACGACGACGCCGACAACGATCAGCAAACAGGACTCCGGAAAGATCTTGCTGAGCTTCGGCGTCATGTGGAAGCCTGCACGTACAATCGTAACTTCACGGTCTCGCACAGTAACCGTTCTAGTTTCGCGACGTTCAACCCCTGGCGACTCCGGCGATTTCGCTACATAGGTACGTCTATTCGATTTCAACCCCTACATCGACTTCTATGTTTTTTCATATTTTAGGATGTTTGGAAAGGCGACGGAACCCGTGTGATTTGAATATTTTGTATGATTGAATATTTCAGTATTTTTGAATTCAGATGATTGAGAGTATCAGGGATTGAATATTGCATAATTTAACGCCTGAATGTTAGTGTCTCTGAATATTGAGGATTAATTGTTAAGTACTTCCAGCGCCTAGATGTGAATATTTTGAACTATCACGGATTAAATGTTCGCTGTTGCTTCGAATTTCAATATTTGAGAATATTAATAATGAGATATTAAGTATTTCGATCAGAATATTTCAATATTTCGAAATATTAGGAATTGATTGTTAAGTATTTCAACGCGTGAATTCCATTATTTCGAAATATTGATAATTGAATATTGAATATTTCAACCGTTGAATTGTGTTGTAATGGTGCTGCGATTGCATTGTACGGAACGTGAATTAAATAAACAAGTAATTGTAGATTGATTGTAACGTATGAAAGATAAAATGGAAGAGGTAGGCAATTGAATCGAGGTTGAATCGTGCAAAAGGTGAAATAAATAAGAAGATAATGGTATTGTGCTATTGTTGGCAGAGAAGCAGCTCGTGAAATGTAATCATTATGCTTTTTGTGTAATTGTGTTATTTATGGGTAATAATGAGTATCATAAAGAAAGAAAAATTCGTATTGGTTTTTATAAATACTTTTTAAAAACAAAAAGGTTGAAACTTCCCATGGAATTATATTTTTCTTTGTATTACTTGCGATTTACTGAAATTACTGACATAAACTATTTTATTTATGAAGATATGTACAAAAATTTATCTTCTTATTCTTCTGTCTTATCTTTATCTCAAGACAGTTGTTTTCAAAGCAACGTGGAAAAATATCCGGTTTCTGTATTGTTTATAAATAATTGTATTTTTTCAGTTTTTCTATCACATGCGTTCGATCGTTTGTCTCGATGACCTAGGGTTGCTGTTTGTATCCTCTTGAAAAACGTAAAAGTCGAAGGGTAGAAAATTAAAAAAAAAAGGAGTAGAATGCGTGGAAATAATAGCGCCAGTTACTGAACGTCGCGACTGAAAGGGTCCTCGTAATTGGGAATAAAAGGAATGTCAGGGAGCGCAATTTTCCGTGGAACTCTTTTGTTGTTCGCGCTTTTTGCAGAGAACGGTGCATCGTTATTGAAAATTCTGAAATATGTTGCTATAGTTAGATCGAGATCGATTCTGTTCGGTCAAGGTCACTGACTGACGACCCCCACCACGTCGTTCGGCTATCCCTGTAAGTCGAGTCACGCATGGTAACACGACTTAGGAGGTAAAAATGAAAATTAACGATCCGTAAGGGCAAATTTGGAATAAATTTTCAGTAGCACTTTTCGTCTTGTAACTTCTATTGTCTGAATTACATAACATCCACGGCGCGGTATGCAAAAATGACTATAAAATTAACCAAAATTTCCACTCGGAATTAAAACGTGTATTTCTATATCGTCCAAAAAACGATATAAAAAGTAACAATCTCTCTCGGTAACAAAATCCAAAAATAATTCCGGTCAATAACATTTACCTTTCAATAGAAATACAAGGAACAAGAGACTTCAACAAACATCAACGTTTCTAGAAACAATATTAATTCATTTACAAGACCGAACGCGCCTGTAACACCGGTCGCCCTAGATCGACCAATAAAAACCCGAAGCTCCGCAATTCAGCAGCAATAATGGTGAATTAAACCGAACATCCGAGGCCCCCGATCGGACAATGTGTTCACCGAAACAGAAGTCGTTCCGGGCCGAACGCGGAATGGGGGAAGTGACCTCGAACGCTCCACAGAATTCGGCCGAGCCATATCACCCAGCTGAACGCGACAACGTTCGAATTGACCACATCGGATACCAGCGAAACCAGCAGCGAAGCGCTCTGTAGGTACGAATCCATCAAGTTCCACGAGTACCCTACCTATTTTCGCGATACTGGCGAAGAAGATCCATATCCCGATCACGAAAGGGGTCTCGACCCTATGGAACTCCACAGCGATGATCTTGTACGTGGGCTCCGGCCGATGATTGGAACCGTGTCCATCGTCTCCGGCAACTTGAGAGGACAAATGCGATTCTATTGGACCGCCTTCCCCGTTTCCAGCTGAGAGACCCCTAAAGGAGACGTCGTCCGGCAGGGAGCCGTCTATTGGCCCCATGGGTCCGAAACTCTTTCCAGGATAAGGTTCCCTCAAGTCCCTGGGGAACTCTTGATCGTCGACGATAGGTCCATGGATCGCATAATCGTTGATCGGGATTCGTTTGTCGGGCTGCAGGTGTTGCGGCACAGCCTCGTAGAACTTGGTCAAACCGGCTTGGCCAGGTTCAGGCCAGCACACGGTGAAGAGGAGCAAAGCTAGCAGCATGGTTGTGGTGGCTGCTGCACGTGGGGCCATGTCGACGTAACACGTGGACGCGGTAGATGCTGATGGCGGGGGCTGCGCTGGTCGCCCGCGCTCGTCCACCGATTCTGAGTCACCCGGTGTACCATCAGAAGGGACCTCCAGCAACGTGGAAGCTGCAGGCTACGCCGGCTCCCGCTGTTCGCGTCGCTAGGGGATCTCACCCTTGCCGCTGGCTCGGTACACCCTCGTTTCCTGCTGCCTGCGCGGGGGGCGCGTCGATTGTTCTCGGATTTATGGGGGGCACGGCCTGGTGTCTCGTGTGCAGACAGGGTTGCTTAATTGCATGGCGTTTCGAATGCGTTCTATATACACGTCACGCGTGGAAGACGTTTCTAATCAATCGTTCAGTCCAGTCCTTATCGCAGCCTGGACTGGGTGTCCTGCATCGGTCCGATGTCAGGCACGAGGATTCAATCTTTTCGTTACTGGGGTGAGCACCGTGGCTACCGTTATAGGAACTAGAACTTATACTCCCGTGATCGATTCCCGGGGACGTCGAAGGTCTCGCTTCAGGATTCTCGTCTGGATGTCCGACATTCCGAGCGGTTCGATTCCCCGCGTCGAGCGTCGCCTCGGTGCTCTATATCCAACACCCGGCAGTCTTTTCCGGCGGCAACCTTGGCTTCCCCAGGCGAGTCAATGAACCTCCGTTGGACACCTACGCGCGGCCGAATTCACGCATCGGCCCGGTTCGAAAAGTGCTGGGCCAGCCAGCGAACAATAGACCGGCCGAGCGGGGCGTTTGTTGTGCTACTCACCGTGTCGGCGTTGCTTCGAGCGCACCCCGCCGGTTATCGACGAGCGAATCCTCTCCGTTACGCAGCTGCGAGCCGGGGACGGAGGCACTTCGTCGCAGCCTCCTCGGCTCGATTTATTTACACGTCGTTGCTCGTCGAGGCCCGAACGAACCCCCGTGATCACAGAACCACCCTGTCACTCGGCAAGCTTCAGGCGATAGGATAGCGCACCCTGGACGCGTTCACAGTAGTACCATAGACTCTATCGTCCCTCTGATCCTCAGACTACCCCACTGGAAGATCCTTTATATTCAATCGCACAGCTATCCACGGTTATCAGAATTCACGTACTCGCGTACGCCGAACGAGCGAAGAAACTAGAATCTTCCGTCATCCAATCACAGAGCGAAGATCCGGTCCAGGGGGTGCTTCAGCCCCGGTACGTATCAGCGATCTAGAAAATGGACCAGCCGATGTCGTTAGCCGCCAGCAAGGTGTTCAGTGGACGATTCGGCTGTAATGAATCTTCTATCCAATCACAGCGGCCGTTTCACGGGGACGATGAGGTCCTGGGCTAGGTGTCCCAGGTAGCGAAGTCACACGGGTCGGACTGGTCGACACGGGCTCGGATCGATGAACGGTCGCGAGCACACTCTCAAATGTTCACGCAGCCACTCGAGAACGCGCGAGCGTTCTGCATACGCAGCGAGACGAGAACGATACCGCCGCGGAGGTGGCGGCGAGGACGAGGCATCGTTGTTGCAATCGGAAGTGGCGTTTCCACCCGGGCTGTTTCTTTCTCTCTTTCTCTTCCTTGTTCACTCTCTGTCAGCCTCGCTCTCTTTCCCTCTTTCTCTCTGTATCTCTCTCTCTCTCTCTCTCTCTCTCTGTCTCTCTCTGTTTCGCCGCGGTGCGGCTCGATCGACCGTCACGGCGGCACTGCGCGAAATTCAATTCACACACCGCACACGCCGGTTCCGGGAACGGACACCATTGCCACGGCTAAGGGCACGAACGAGCGCTGCCAAAAACGTGCGTAACTGCCGACCAGGCTATCCATGACGTCGCTGCTGATAGCCGATGGATGCGCGCGACTCGCTCCGTCTCTGTCCCGTCGTGGCGGCCACACCGTTCCCTCGCCGACGCGTATCTTTCTTCGATTAACGGGCTCGCCTCTGTTTTTCTCTGTTCCGCCTGCTCTCCGTCTATTCGATGCTTCCAGCCAGCTGATCGTTGCGGAAACCCGCGCAGGCGTCGCGGCGCTCCGATATAGAACCGCGGGACGCCGCTTGGGCGTGCTTGAACGTCCGAGCGACGCGCCGCGCCGCGACGCGGCGTCTCTGGGCTCGTTGTTGAGGGTTTCGCCGCTGGAGGCAGCCCGTCGCGCGCTACACGGGGAAATCGTAACAGGAATTGGAATTCCTGGCTCGGGCTCTGATCGATGATGACGATGATGGCCGCTCGGGGGGTAAAAGGATTTACTCCTGGCGGTCGTTGCCGAAAAAAACCTGCTCCCCGTCGCTGCTTTCTGCTGCGGGATTGCGATACGCATGATTTATCCGACTCGATAAATTTCGGTCTGCTTGTTATTTAGACGTGGTACTCCATCGAGGCGAATTCGTAATTGACTGCAGCCGGCAGTGCTCAGAGTCTAGGTGCACGGTTCTAGGGGGTCGCGCTATTGATCCTCCGACGTTCCCTTTTATTTTTGTATTTAGCTTGATCGCTGTTCACTTTCTTGCCGAGTCAGGAAAAACTTTGATGCCGCCGTTGGCGATTGAAGAGACGTGGTTCCGCGGGTTAATTAGCTCGTTCCATTCCCAATCTCCGAGCGTATTAAACGGTGAATGTTTGATACTTTCTCTTGCCTTTGACCGGCACGGAAAACTTTCTAATTCCGTGAATAATTAAGGGGATGATGTGGGGTTAGCTCCCTGCGACTCGAGTGGTCTTCCCGTTGGGTTTCAAAGCGGAATTCGTTCTGGGTTCATTCATTTATTTATTTCTTCGGAAGCGAGTCGTGAATTTTTGAGGGTGCTGTACAGTACGTGCCCGCATACATACCCGGGTCAGGTTGCACGACTATACAGACCGCGCGCGACCTTAAACTAGCGGCGTCCCGACGTCGGATCTCGGAGACACCTCTGCCCTTGACCTTGTCACTGTTGCGCTAGCGAAATGGCCCCGGCTCTGTCGCCTCGGCATTCAGCTCGCAGCCAGCCTTTTGCGATCATACCTCCGCGAACTGTGCAACCCCCTTTCGCCCGGCCCGCGCTCACCTTTTTCTCAGCGCGCGCGCCGCGCCGCGCCGGCTCGTCGGCTAATCGGTTCGTAAACTTTTAATTAAGGACGCATAAGCGACCCCCCTGGCTCGATCCTCATTTTTATTTCTTCATCCTTTCGCAAACAAACGACAATAACGCGTCTGTTTGCAGTCGCTGAATGGAAACCATCGTTGGGATAATTGAATGAGAGGTGTCTACTATGGAGGGTTCTTCTGTGTCCGGGAAATAAACATGTTTGCTCTTCTTTACGTTGCGTTTACGCGATTGGCGAAGGCAAGAGACGGTGAATGTTGTCGTTATTAAATGGACGATGGCAATTGGACGGTTCTCTTTTGGTAGCTTGAATAATATTTTGGTCTTTCGGTGGGTTTTTTTAGTTCGTTTTTTGAAAGATGCGTTAATTGTTGTTTCTTTATTTTCGTCGGTTATTTCCGTGTTTCTTTCTGAGAGAGTCGTAATTAAGGCGTCGCAATTGTTTATATCAACTGTCTCGTAGATACTTTGATAGAAATAATTGGATGGTTATGAGGAGGAATATAATTTAACGAGAGGTTGCTCCGAGATGACATTTTGCGAGGACGTGTGTAAGTTCATTTTAATTATAACGGTATATATTTAAATTGTATGTTATCGATTTTATTAACATTTAAATGACCTATGCTATACATTGCGGCTTGTCTTATGATTGATTGCGATCTGTGTAATTTATGATTTACATAATACTGAACATTTACATAATTAGGGGAATGTATCAGCGAAATGCGCCACTTTATCATAAAAATCCGTATATACAATTATTTAAAGCTTGACGTTATCAATGATGTCCAGCTAGGAGATCAGGTACTTACTCTCCATATTTCTGTAAGGAAATCTTAAAACTTAAAAATTCCAAGTCTCACAGCTTACTTCCATTTTCTATTATCTTATTTACCTATTTATCAACAGTAATGTTTCAGTAGATCACGAAATTTTCCAATACGACCAACATGAAGAATTCGATGACTCAAACCGCTTAAAGTGAATTATCTCAAATTCGTCCAATAGACGCGGCACACACAATAGCGATATTCTAGTATATTACGAAATCTCCTAAAACAAACTACAACCCGAAGAAACGCATATCACTCAAATAAAATGATTCCAAACTCACTAACCATCCCCACAACTAATATTCAAACCCCTTCCAACAGACGCGTAAAATCGCCAACCAAACGAGCACGCACGAAAACCCAACGTTTGCCCGACCAAACAACCGCTCGTCCGCAACGAAGCGCAATACTTCACGAACGAAATCCCAATATTTACCCAACAATCAATTACATCGCGATCTCCTCGGTCGATAATATATTCACCCCCGAAGGTAACCTTACCGGTGATCGTTCTCACTTTCAGCAGAATAAATGTCTTTCGCTCCGGGGACCGTAAACTCGATAGAAATGATTAAACCCCCGGCCCGCTGATAATAGAGCCGGCCCGGCAAAGTGACAAACCAACGATAAACAAATTGATAAGCAACGCACGTCACAAAATTTAATTGCCGATGAGCACGGAGCGGCCGGGGCGAAGAGAGATGAAAGCGGAAGGGATACACGGGGTGGACAGCAGCGAATTCCCGTCGCATCGGTTGATAACAACGGGTTGCGTAACCACGCTCGGATACACCGGCCATTCTCGGCGACGATTTTACTCTGCGCACGATGGGAACAGATACCGCCGTCAACTGCGATTGTTTAACGAACGCAGCGGGCGAGCGAGCGAGCGAGCGAGCTAGAGAACTCGCCAGATAAGAGCTTATTCCGGTTGCTTGCGCGGCGGATCTGTTATCAGCGATCGGGCCAGATCGCATCTGGTTACGAGGACGGTTGACATGTTTTATTTACAACGCGGCGCGCGCTGAGGGAATGTAATCGGGAGACCCAATTTCTTCTTGCCTTTCTTCATCAGATCCGCGGCTTGGCGAGCGAGCGAACGAATGGCGGCCGCACGCGAGAGGGAGCAAGAGACCGGGCGCCGGGCTATTGATGATGGCAATTCCGACGCCGCTCGAGGAAACGGAAACCGTTTCGATTTCGAGGCCGTTCGTCAGCCCCGTAAATAATTCTCTGCCACTAGCCGACGCGGCTGACGGAATGTTACACGACGACCGTAAGAAGTCTGGTTCGTTCGTTGCGCCCGCGCCACGTAATTAACCCTCCTGGCGCCGCTATTTAAGGCCAGACGTCGCGCGCAACAATCAGCGGCAATCGGTTAATCGGTCACGCGCGTACAGCTGTTTAGCTGTTTGCTCGTGTACTTGAACTTCAATCGGTTACATCTTATGATATGCATAGCGCATACGTGTGCGGAGACGCAATTGGACCAGCCTGACTCCTGTTCTTGTGTTTCGAATTCCTTGGAACGGGTGTCGTGTGGTTGCATCTAAGGAGTTGACTCTTTGCAGTGGAGTTTTCTTGTTAGATGTGCTCAGTGTTTTCCAGGGAGATGTTGAGCGGATTTTTGGCATTTGGCTTGAAGGGAAATGATACGTGAATTGAGAGATAGAGTTGTTTTGGTTGGACGTTTTATGCGATATTGGGTTATGAGAAGTTTGATATCGAATTCCGAGTTTATGATTTTGATATGTTACATCGAGTGGCGGTTGTGGGTTGCGTCTCAAGTACGGAGGGTTAATATTCAGGCGATTGGGGAATTGATCTGTTTATCCTGTAAGGGACGAGATTATCAGCTGTTACGTGTGAAACGTGGGTTATAATTGTTGCTGGCTGGACGTTATTCAGCTGTGATCCGATGGAGATTACGAGTAATTATTAGTAAATGGGGATTAGTCTTTTGAATCTGAAGGTATTCTATAAGTACTAGTTTTATTAAGAAGGCGTCACCGATGAATATGAGTAAAATAAATGTAAGACTTTTATGTTTTCATTTTTGTGAAAGATATTTATTTTCGTACGTGTTGTTTGTGCATTCTGTAAGTATCTGGAACGAAGATAGCAGCGAAAAATGAGGATGACGTGATTCTGATATCGCTAACGAATTCGGTTGCGTGTAGAATTAGTCAATGTTTATAGTATCGGAAGATAACGTTCAGTTAAATGGAAGATTTGGCAAAGGATTGAAGACTGTTTGTGGATGATACAGGCGGTGAATGGAAGTCCATAATAAATTTTCTTCAATGTGTTACCTTTATGGCGCGAAACGAGAAGTTTAAGATTAAGGAACATAACTGAAGAGATTTTGGGTAAATATTTGCTCAACAAAGCCGAAAAGCCAGACAAAAGCGATTGTTTGGTTAAATCGCCTGGCGTAGAGTTTCTACGCCACGTGTGGCTTAGCTGGCTAAGCCTGATGCACAAATGTATGACACAGTGTGACCTGGATAGATATCATTTTATACAGGATCATTCCAAATTAATGCCCCAAAAGTTTATGGCGGTTTTTTATGCGTAGCATCCAGAAAGCAGCGTGAAATATTTTGTTTTATTGGTACAACGAGTTTCGCGGCGATATCCAATATGGCCGCCATGCTGGAATACATAAAACCAAGTCTTTCAGGTAACACAGTGTTGAAAATAAATGTTTCTATTTTCGAAACATGATTTATAAAGTGATTTTATGCGAAATGTGATATAAACTGAATATAAACTTTTAGTTTGCAATTTAGCCGGTAACAAATTAATAATACAACTCAGAGGAAAATTCAGTTTTACAATTTATAACTTCATTAGCAGGCTTTAAGGATATTTTCCATGAATGTTGTAATGTGTTCCGAAATATCCATTAGGGATCCGCATTTTTACGATTTATGAGCAAATAAAACGTTAAGAGTAAAAGGAACGCAATATATTTAATACAAATTCCGTAATACAATTACACGATCACCTGTTCTAATAATGATGATTAATTAAGCTAATTAATATGTGGGAGCTATTCAAGCCCAATAAACGAAATAATATTTAAA